GAAAACAGCCTCTAACCCAGATTGATGTACCCTGCAAAACTATCTTTCAAAATTGATGGAGAAATAAGATACTTTCATGACAAAGAGCACCTTTAGGAAGTTCATGAATACCAAACCAGCCCTCCAAAGAATTTTAGACAATATCCTAGGAAAAGACAATGAGGATCACAACCCCAGGAGGCCCAGCAGAATGAATCTGTCAGGTGGGACAAGAAATTAAATGTAGCTGGGGATTTAGCTCAGTGGTTCCAGCGCCTGCTGCGCAAGCCCAAGGGCCAGAGTTCGATTCTCGGTACAAAAAAAAAAAAAAAAAAAAGCTTTGGGCTGGGGATTTAGCTTAGTGGTTTCGCCGCCTGCTGCACAAGTAGAAGGACCCAAGTTTGATCCCCGGTACCAAAAAAAAAAAAGAAATTAAATGTAAAGGAGGAAAATCCAACAAAAAGAAAAAGTCATGACAATGATAACTCAATATGTATCAGTTATAGCCATCAATGTTAATGGTCTCAATTCACCACTCAAAAGAAATACACTGGCAGAATGGGTCCAGAAGCAAGATCCAACAACATGCTGCACGCAAGAAACACACTTAATTCAAAAAGAAACTCATAGACTGAAAGTTAAAGGGTGGAAAACAATACTCTATATGACAGGAACCTGAAAAAAAGCTATCCTCTTTGCAGATCAAGTGCGTTTCAAACCAACACTGATTAAGAGAAAAAAGAAGGGCCGGGGATTTAGCTCAGTGGTTCTGCTGCCTACTTTGCAAGCGCAAGGTCCCATGTTCAATCCCTGGTGCCAAAAAAAAAAGGCGGGGGGGAGAGACATAGAAGGACACTACATCCTTGTAAAGGGAAGGATTCAAAAGGAAGAGATGACAATCATAAATATCTATGCACTAAACACTAGTGTGCACAACTATATAAAACAAATATTGACGGACATGAAAAAACAAATAAGCACTAATACAATAGTAATGGGGGGTCCTCAATACCCCACTGTCACAAATAGATAGATCAACTAGACAAAAAATAAGTAATGAAATATGAAAACTCAATCAAACTCCTGAACAAATGAACTTAACATGTTTACAGAGTGTTCCACCCCACAAAATCAGAATACACATTCTTTTTAGCTGCGCATGGGTCCTTCTCCCATGTTATAGACCACATACTTGCTCATAGAACATGTTTAAGCAAGTGCAAAGGAATTGAAGTTATTCCCTGTATATTATCAGACCATAGTGTGATGAAATTGGAGATCAATAGCAAAAGAAACGGCAAGAATTTCATAAACACATGGAAATTGAACAACACACTTCTGAATAACCAATGGGTCACAGA